TATTATATTTATTTAATGTTATATATCATATAATTATAAATTTATTATTTTAAGTGATACTGTTTTTTATTAAACTTTCAAAATCTAAAAATTATATTAGTTTCAACTAATTTAAAATTATATCATAATAAATTACATAAAAAAATTTTTAATGCCTATTACTTAATTTATTAAATTTAAATTTAAGATTTTATATAAATAGTATCTTCACCCAAATTTATGATTTTATTTTATTTAAATAAAAAAAATTAAATTATCATATAAATCAAAAATCCAAGTCAAATGTTAAATCCCTTGCCATGTAAGCTTGACATGGCAATATTTTGCCATCCAAGCAGCCAAGCGGGGTGTGTCCTCAACGGCAGTTAAGTCAGGCGAGCAATCCGAAACGACAGTTAAGTTGGCGTAAGAAAAAGGGCTTAATTGCTTTGATCCTAGAATTCAAGGGCTTAACTGCATCAATTAAAGTTTAGGGGTTTAATAACTATTCTGGGGTTAGTTCAGGAGCTTAACTTATGATTTTACCTAAAAAAATTACCTCTAAATTATTTTTTGTAATAAAATAAAAAATCAAATGCCATGCGAATACTAGATTCATTTGGCCCTTTTCAAAAATATATGGATACTTTTGCAAGTGCACTTTCTTTAGTGGAAAGTTGTTAACCTACAAATCTAGGCCGCCATGCTCCGGCAAAAGCCTAAGAATAGCCCCTTACCTTGATAAGTTGGATAGTTTTGACCCTCATCTTATAACATAACGGCTTTAGCCCATAACCTATAAGAATGGAAGAAAATAGTCCTTTTTTGTAACTTCTGTTCGTTGGTCTATTACCGTCCGTCACTTCCGTCCATTCCTTCGTTATCTTTCTGTTAACTTTCTCAAAGCTTCTCCAAGAAGCCTGCTACATTTTTTTTGGGAATTCAAACATTTTTTTTTTTTTGAGAATTCAAACATTTTTTTTTTACCTTTATTTTTAAAGATAGCTGCACATGTATTACTTGTATATAATTTTTACATATTTTTTTGATTGTATTATATGTTTTATTTATTGTTTATATTTATTTGAGACATATAATATTAATTATATCTATTTATTTAATAATATGTAAAAATTATATACAAGTAATACATGTGCAGCCATCTTTAAAAATAAAGATAAAAAAAATGTTAGAATTCTAAAAAAAAAAGTTTGAATTCCCAAAAAAAATGCAGCAGGCTTCTTGGAGAAGTTTTGAGAAAGTTAACGGAAAGATAACAGAGGAAGGGACGGAAGTGACGGACGGTAACAGCCCAACGAACGGAAGTTACAAAAAATGGCTATTTTCTTCCATTCTTATAGATTATGAGCTAAAACTGCTATGTTATAAGGTGAGGGGCCAAAACCATCCAACTTATCAAGGTAAGGAGCTATTCTTAGACTTTTGCCGCCATGCTCCCACGAGAAAGCTAAGATAGGCTGCAATTGTGACCGACAACTTACATGACTTTATAAATCCATTGAACCCAAAATATATGGTGTAATTATTATTATTTTTTTTAATTTGGGTGCATAAAATTTGAGGTAAATTGACATATGTGTTTCATAATCTAATGGATATAAATCAATTCATAAAATATATTTTTCAATTCAAAAGTTGAAATTTGAATTTTTTACCTTTAATTGGTAATTCTATTCAAATATATATATGAGGTAAATTTTTTATTTTTTAATTTATTTTATTTATATGTTATATAATTTAAATTTAAATTTTTTATTTTTATAATAAAAAATCATTAAGTT